AATTATTTGCTGCTTTTTAGTTAAGGGTACAAAACAAAAGTAATTTTGGAGTCAACATACGCCTCTGGTCTTTCAGTGATAAGCTATATCACTTATAAAAGGGTCTGGTTACCTTGCTTCTCAAGTTATTCTAATGAATATAAACTTAAATTAAAGAGTGCAGTTGAAATCTCAGAGAAAAATGTACAAAACAAAATTGACAGTAACAACATCTGCACTTAGCACTTGTGAACATCATTTTCAATAAGCCAATTTGCAGTATGGCTCATACAAAGGTATCAAGGGAAAGATAAGGCCTTGAACTCTGCAAATGAGCTATAGTTTTGAAATCAAGTGTGCTTTTACTGATGACAAACTGCTACAATACACCTCCATTTTGTGGTCAAAATAATTCGCGCCATCAACATACCAGATTGGTTGCTACTTGCTAGGATACTCATCATATGCCTGTAATAATTTCCGTGGTTTCCTATCCCTTTCCTTTTAACTCTAATATCTATGGGCTGTATCTGATTTACAGGCACCTCCCACTTGGGCGCTATGTGCCCTCATGGTCGGTACCTATAAATCAGATACAGCCCGAGTAGGCATGATATACCGTATAGCCAAAAATTTTCGAGGCTTAAAATTTCGTGAATAATGAAATTTATGGAGAAATTTTAAATTCCGTGATAAATATTTTCGTGATTTTATTTTAATAATAATAATGACCACGCCTTATTTAATTAAAACGTGGCAGATTCAATGTTTGAGACGGACTCTTGTGTGAAGGGGCACCATGTCTACAAATCAATGTGGACACCAGAGATAAGGAAGATCATCATCTTTGACCTAGGCAGTATGCTTAAAATAGCAATACAGAGTAACAGAGACATCAGCTTGACCGAGAACACGACTTGACACGAGGGCACATTTATTAGTAAGGCGTGGTTAACCACGCCCTCTCAATTAATATTAATTTTCGGGGGTTTAATTTTTCGTGATGCAAACAGTGATCACGAAAATACAAAATTTATTCCTCACTAAATTTTTTGGCTATACGGTATCTATTACATCCCACATATCGTCGTGTTATATATAACATATATATACCTGTTTTGCTTTGAAGAGATGATTGTAAACGATCTATTTCCATTTGCATTGCTTTTGTCATCTTCTTTTTGCTGTCTTTCTTCTCAAATTCTAAGTAATAACAGGAGAATCATTTGAATTATTAGTCAGCTACATGATCTATTAATTTAAAAATTATTAATGTACATGTATACATGGCAATATTCATATTAGATATTATTACTCAAAACAAGAATGTCATTATACACATGTACCTGATGATTGCATTGATGACTTATTGCTTTCATCAACTTCTCTACCTTCATATGAGATACCTTTAAATTATCAATAATTATAATTAATAATAATTAGTATATACCTAATGTGTCTATTGTAACCTTCAATTTAGCATTCTCCTCAAGTAAATTATCTCTTTCACTCTCTACCATTAGACTCTTCATCTCCTATCAAATATTAAAGTATACTATTAACTTTATATACATATACATACATTCACTAACCTCATCAATTGCAAGTTCATCATACACAGTATAGTAACCAATAGTTAAACTAATCAATCCCATCTCCTTTAGCATATCAATGTTATCTCTAGCTGTCACTAGTAAACTCTCCATCAGATAATGAGGAGCATAACAAGTAACAATGATGGAGTTCCCTTCCTTGATGACTACCACCTCCACTTGATTATCCTTGAATGTTTTTGATAGAAGGGCTTTGATATTGGAGAGAGAATGCTTGCTTGGATTCCATTTCAGAACAAACTTGATTGTCTCACAAGTGAGGAGAGAAGAGGATAATCTCTTAAGCTGACGATTACTAAACATTGTTAATTTGTCCTCACAGAATTCTTCCAAGTGTGTCTCATTACTTGAAGATGTTGAAGTACTTGCTTGTTGACAAGATGGCATGATTGTTACTGCTGAAGGAAATGACTTTCCTATTGTATTAGAATATCAATAAGTTAAGTGTATTTACTGTTGTAAATTGTGTATTTGTATATTTCCATTACAATTATTATTCTCTTTATTATGATTATTTGCATTGTTATGATTTCTGTTAATGTTATTATTCTTATTATTACTATAGCTGTTATTACTGTTTTGTATTACTATTGTTGCCATTGCTGTTATTACCATTTTGTACTATTATTATTGTTCTTATTTCTTATTTGTATGTGTACAATGTTTCTTTTCCCCATAGGCTGTGTTGTTATGTCATATTGTGTAACTGATGACGTCATAATTCTTTTCTTATATAATGCATGCTTTTATTCATTTTCTGTGTCGAGAGATTTGAGAGTTTTTTATGGTCCTTTTTGTTCAAAAGATAAGGCGTTCATCACGACCTCTGCTCGGTTACTACATTTACAAACTGTTCATTTACCATATTCCATTATTATATCACTAGCTAAAGACACTGCTTCCTTTGATTTCATTAGAATGCTTGTCAGAATACATAACTTGCTATGATCTTCAGCTACAGCACTTAATATTAGTAACATTGGATCTCCTACCAATGAATAACCACAACTCTTCACTTCTGTTAATGTATCCTTAGATATCAATCCCTCTGTATGTAAGAGATCAACTGATTCTTCAGTAAGA